TACAGCAGCATCTCTGCCGTATCGAGCCTTTGCTGCCCAGCTTGGGTTCAATGGGTTTCGAGGATTCCTGTAACTGTTTGATTGGTCCTTCTGATCTCCCATGTTGTGTGGACGTTCTACGTACCTATAAGAATTGCTAGAAGGGGCATCGGCCTCGTGACTTCCGAAGAATCTCGGCTTTCATCATGAGGCGCCATAATTCTTCCTTCAACTCAGAGGACAGAGTTTAAATTGTGTATTCTGGTTAGCGTTTTTCAAGTAAGGATGCTTTCTACTTGATGGAGTTGCTGAACCCATGCCCAACCCTCCTCCTTTACCCGGACTTGGGACCGGCAGTAACCCTAGAACAGCTACAGGAGGAGTTACTCAACTAAATATTTTCAGCTAAATACGGCTAAAAAAATGTTTAGATTGTGATTCCCCATGAGTTCCAATCCCAATCATTGCCTCCTATCTAAACTGCTTGACTGGTTCACTTGGCGTCTACAACATCATTTCTCTATGGTGATCGTCTGTTGCAGCTATGCTCAGATAACCGCCTGTTCCTTGCAAATACTAACTTTAAGCATAAGGAAAAACATCTTTTAACATGGCGACCCCCTAATTCGTCCCAACGTTGGACCCAAATAGATCACATCGCTATCAGCCACCGATGGAGGGGCTCGATAGAAGACTGTCGCTCATTCTGGAGCACATGCTTAGATTCAGATCATGCTCTAGTGCGAGCGCGTATTTGCTTGCGTCTTACTGGACGTAGGAAAAACGCTGCAAGGAAACCTCTTAGGGCCCTACTTAATGATAGTCAAACTAAGAGTATATTTCAGGAACAACTAGGAAAACAGTTAGGCAGCCATGCAGGTGATGCCCACTCCGAGGCAGCATGGAATGATATCCGAAAAGCTGTGGAAACAGCTGTGATATCTGCTAGTACGGTAACCCGTAAGGTTACGGAGCAACACTTGATCTCAGCAGCATCCATCGCACTGTTAGATGCTCGGAAACTCATTCCACCTGGCTCTGAACATAATGAAGAGCGGAGTCAGCTTAAGCGCAAGCTGACAAGAAGTCTACGCAATGATCGTGAACAGTGGTGGGTAGCGAAAGCAAGAGAGATGGAAAAGGCAGCGGCAATAGGTAATAGCAGACAATTGTTCAGACTTGTTAAGGAAACCGACTGTTAGCGAAACACTCTCAGAGAAAGATGGACATATTATACATTCTCAATCCAGGAGATTGGATCGATGGGCAGAACACTTTAGGGATCAGTTCAACTGGCCTTCAGCCACACTTCGGTTTTCCACGATCTCCAGTCAACCTGAATGGCAAGTTAGTGTAGGTCCTCCGACTCTTTACGAAGTTGAAAAAGCCATAGGAAATCTGAAGCGATGGAGAGCAACAGGCCCTGACAGGTTTACTCCTGAGATTTTTAAGGATGGTGGTCCAGTATTAGCAATGAGATTAACTGAGGTCTTAGGCAGAATTTGGGAACTGGACGTAATCCCATCTGACTGGTCTCAATCACTGATTGCGCCAGTCTATAAGAAAGGACAAAAGTCCTCTTGTGACAATCACAGAGGAATCAGTTTGACTAATATAGTGTCTAAAATATTAGCTTCAATAATACTTCGACGCCTAATCAAAGCTCGTGAAGAGCAGACTAGAGAAAACCAGGCCGGTTTTCGACCTGGACGTGGTTGTATAGATCAGATATTCACACTACGTCAGGTTCTAGAACACAGACACACGTTCAGACGCCCCACAATCGTAGTATTTCTCGACCTTAAATCAGCATTCGACTCTGTTGATCGTAAGGTTCTATGGTAGTGTTTGTCACTGAAAGGAGTACCAAAGAAGTACATTAACCTTGTAAAGGCTCTCTACTCGAACACAACTGGTCAAGTGAGAGCTTATGGCGAACTGTCATCAGAATTGATTACCTCAAGTGGTGTTCGTCACGGCTGCCCACTCTCTCCATTCTTGTTCAACTTTGTCGTCGACGTACTTTTGGAGATAACACTTTTCTCGTTTAAATTTCCAGGGGTTGAACTTCTACCGGGAGGTTCACTTGTTGACTTAGAATATGCTGATGACATAGTTCTATTTGGTGAAGACGCTGACAAAATGCAGTCTTCTGACCACTATAAGCAAAAATGCAAGCATGTCTGGCATGCGCTTCCTCCCCTTAAAATGCAAAATGTTGCTTCAGGATTGGGTTGCATTGACACATGAACTAATGATAGGGAGTGAAGTAGTTGAGTATGTCGATCGCTTCACTTATCTTGGAAGTCTCATCAGCCCTTGTGGTCTGGTGTGTGACGAAATCTCAGCACGGATACAGAAGGCTCGACTAGCTTTTGCCAACTTGCGTGATTTATGGCGTAGGTGAGATATCCGTCTATCAACCAAAGTACGTGTTTACTGCGCAGCAGTTCGTTCCGTCCTACTTTATGGCAGTGAAACATGGCCAGTAAGAGTAGAGGATATCCGTAGGTTACTGGTATTCGATCATATGTGTCTTCGAAATATTGCTCGTATATCCTGGGACTATCGAGTAAGTAACGCAGTTGTTAGGAAACGAGTACTAGGTAAGGATGGCAAATCGATTGATGAAGCAGTGAAAGTTCATCAGTTGAGATGGCTGGGACATGTGTTACGTATGCTCAACCACCGACTGCCTCGATGTGCAATGTTTTGTTGTATAGGAGTAAATTGGAAGAAAGCTAGGGGCAGCCAGACCAAAACATGGCACAAGTCCTTGAATTCACTGACAAGTGGACTGAGTCATGTTGGTAGGTGTAGACTACCTGGTTGGGGACCGCGAGATGATAGCAACCGATGGTTAGAGACCCTGAATGACATGGCTCAAAATCGTTTGCGATGGCGCAGGTGCATACACTCTTTGTGTTCCTCCAAATTCTAATCTTGTGAATTCTTCATATCCTTTCTTTTTTTCTCTTTCAAAATTTATTTCACTGGATTATACTCTTTAAATAACATCTCCAAACCTTAATCTTCCCGATTACTGCTTATACTCTTATTACCTCTACCACTACGGGATTTGAATCGACCACTGCATCTCTGTGCTAATGTGGTATGGCAACTCGAATTGATGTACGTACGTGCGAATTTCTACGTTGTTACTGACTGACTATAATGTAGATTCGATTTGTCATGTGATTTGTCGAGACAGTGAGGAAATCTATTGTACATTTAGCTGGGAGTAGCTTTCAACACTCGTGATTTGTACTGGAACATAACTTCAAGACGATATTGGTTTATAACATAAACTGTTCTACCACTTATGGTAGAGCATTTTCGTTTTTCGATACGTAGAGGAAATAAATAGTTCTGTGGTCCCTCACTAGAAGGTTAATAAGCGATAAACTATCTCTTTCTTATGGCCCAAACACAATGCTGTGTATTTATGAGTTACCCTCAATCTTTAGAAATATTTAGATAACTTCACTTTATAAATCTTGACGTTTTATGATGACTCACATCATTTTATTTATAGCACTTAGATATTCTGTTTGGTTTTTCTCAAAAGAAGACTAATAAATAACAATTGTGAAAATTTGATAATCGTATTATAATAGAAAACCTCACACCTTTTGAATTGGCTACCATTAAGTATTTCATAGAAATCATGAACCTATCGAAGTTAGATCACCTGGTATAAGAATCCTCACCTGTTCGCATCCACGACTCCCCACTCTGGAATTGAACCCAGGGCCTTCGGACTCGCGCACGATCGCTTAATCTCTAGATCACTGAGTCGGCATCTAAAGGTGTTAATTTTCAACTTCGATCAATCCGTGACATTGCGTGACCGTCTTCTATTGTTTTTTTTTTTGGGGGGGGGGTAACTGTCTCACACTCAAAACGGTCCATTTTCTCTGGCCACGACTTGATCAAGGAGTTACTTCGCAACGCTATCGCATTATTATATTACAAGTTTTAGTTCCGACTCATTGGTTACTACTGTATATTTCACTGCAACTGGTGAACTTCGATTAGCGACCAATGTCCCGCTTGATTTGTAGGTCTAACAGCCTCCAATGCATTTCTCATATATTGGATTTTTTATCTGAAGATTTGGTTGTATAAATAAATTAGACGTGCTTACTGCCAACATTGCCCCCAAATGCCCTGGTACGGCCGAGAGTGGGAAGAGTCCGCTCTCCCTCTCAAAATGCTCTCACATGGCCACGTGTATACAGCCTGTGTCAGGAAATTCCTACTCACTGCCTTCACGTTGCAGGGGTGATGTTTACGAAATTGAGAGGACGAAAAGCGAATGTCCGGCGCTTTAACCGGGTTGATGGACATGGAGAGTCCACCTAGGGGAGTTGGAAAACCCTGATTCCAAACCAGTCGTGCACATTGGTTCCAAGATCATCAGGAAACAAATGGTGTATGAACCAATCGTTGGTCACCGGCAACCATGGGACTGCATCTCCTTACGTTGCTCCACTGCCTTGTGGATCAGACCTTGATGTCGAAGGCTCCGGGTGTGGCTCCCTAAGAAAACCACCTGCTTCGGTTTGGGTACTCAGGCAGTATCACAGCCCTCACATATATCAAATGAGATTTGTGTGGGGCATATGTATTTGGTGCCTCCTTATACCGATATCTATGTGTTAAAATAAATAAATAAAATGCCATCATTAATATAGAGCCTAGCACAAATGTGATCTGACCCAGGTTTCCACGCACTTGTGATTATCATGTAAGACCATTTTAAGTGTCCATTTGTCGGAAGGAAATGTTCGAATGGAAAGTCTGTCACTCATAAAGCATTTTCATTTCAGTCAAACTATGATGTAATGGGTATAGTTTTATAATATAAATTCTAAATATATCACGACAGTCTAATTGAGGTATTTATTTTACGGATTATGTTTTGATTTTCTGTTCTGTTTAACTTGAATAAATTTAGATAATTTACAAAGACATAGCTAGTATCCGAGAGATAATGTTGATATTTTCTGTTAATATAGGGTGATATTATACACCATGAACTGACACCAGATTATATGCTTACAAGACTTAGGAATCGTTCGGTAAAAAATAGTTTGGAACAAATTTTCAACAAAATCAATATCATTCGTAATGTTGGCAGCCCTGGTCACCTTCAAGTTAGAGAAGTAAGCGTATTAACACAAGTTTAACTACTTTAAATGAAGTTTATTAGAAATTACCTAAGCAAGTGCGGTTGGGAAACTGATTTGGATACTTTTGAAGAAAATACAGTGGATGGTGTTAAAACATTTCATAACATTATTGGTTACAGAAACGACACAAACTATAAGAAATATTTGATTTTGGCTTGTCATTATGAATCAAAACTTCTTCCTAATTTTGTTGGATCAACAGATTCAGCAATGCCTTGTTCAATGATTTTGAAAATTGTCGATCTACTAAATTATGGGATTAAAGCATTGAAGGTATGGAGCCATTTCTTTGTTTACTTTTTGTGATTATTATAATTTTTTTATTAATTTAAGCCAGACAAAACATTAGTCACTTTTTTTCGACAATATAACCAAGATGGTGTTTAAAATAAACCGTGAGAAATAATATTTTAATCAGTAATATATAACAATTTTACTTAGAAACCGTCAAGTTTATACTTGTAATCCAATTACACTTAGTTAGGAGTTGCTAACAGAATTTTTTCATGATACACATCTTAATTATATAAACCTTAACAGACTAATAAAAGTAGTTCAGTTTATGAAATAAAATGTAGGATTGACAAAAACGTTTTGCATTTACAGTCAATCAAATTCCGAAAGATATAAGTAAAACTCTTGAGAATTGTTTACTTTTATCAGCCAGTATTGTCTATAAAGATAAATAATCTCTTAACAAATATAACAGGTGACTGAAACACTTTAATATTGGTACTGACGTATTCTTCTAGTGATTTTTTGGCCTAATTTGATACTTCCAGATTTAGAAATTCACTGGTTAAAATCATGAGTCAATTGAAGCTAGACCTCTATGGAAAACCTAGAAGCACTGGACGGCCGTTTCGTTCTGGTATGGGACTCCTCAGCAGTGCGCATCCACTTCCAGGTTTATCCAGATATTAACAATTTCATAATCCTGCCAATATCATTTTTGGAAGAATAACTTCACAAGTTCATATAAGGATGTCAAAAAATTAGCCTACAACCCCAAAATCATCTTTAGAAACCCAGTGACGAATCATTTTCTTAAATATGAAAAATACCTCCGAATTAACCACTAGGGCTTGTTAACCTCCTAAAAATGGTTTTGCTTGAAAATCGACACAAATACTTCATTTTACTTTACTCTGATCAAAGGACGCAATAACTAAATAATGTATGTCCTTCATTATTCAAAAGACCTGTTTCATGATCTATAAAAGGCGTTGGATTAGATGATAAGCAGTTACAGCTATCATCACTTATATAAATGAATATTGTCAACTACGGACCTAATATTTATTGAATAAATATCAAAATTCTTTATCGTAGAGATCGCAGAAATGCTATAAAATTTACCGAAGAATGAAATTCAAGTCAATCTGTAATCAGCAGACGTGTTGACATGAATCTGGTCTACCCATAAAATCGATCAATAACATCGTCAGTGTTCAGACTAACAAATCACTTAATCAGAATATGAAAGTAAATTAAAATCTTAAAAAAAACCTACCAAGACAACTAATCATAAACAAGATCGTTAGGACAGAAGTGATTCGGAGAAAGTGGAATAGTTTTGAAGACCTTATCCCTGTTCGAAGTAAGCACTGATAATACTGTTCAGAACAACAATCAAAGTTTTTCGATTAAAATACCTAGCTGAGAGAAACCACTAGAAAATGACAATCTTCGTTGTACTATTCGACGTGGTTACTTTTTGGTTACGCTATTCATTATTCGTCTGAACAACATCAACACAAGCGTCTGTCTGAAGAGAATGAAACTTCATCGAAACCATCCATCTGAGCTACAAATCTCAGCTTATCATCATTTTACTTAATAATGGATATCGGAACTCATCAACTAAATGGTTTTTAGAAGACTGGGTTTACAAATATCGTTAAATGTCATTTGTAGTAAAAAGTATTTAATGAAGATAATATAGTCGGGTTACATAGTAAGTAACAATTAACACGTTATGAAGTAACCGATATTCATTTATTCCGATTCATCATAACATCTCTAGAATTTCTTATATATAAAATTTATTTCAAATGGACTGTTTATATTGACAGATTATATTATCTCATCAAAAATTAATTAATGCTTCAAATTGGAATTAAATATTCCACTGAAAATGCAGTCAGTGTGTGTACTTTTGTGGATTTCATATAAAAAATATCAAGTTTATAATTTCGAAATCCGGCTCAGTGGTCCAGTTGGTTAAGTGCCTGGCGTGAAACTGATAGGTCCTGGGTTCGAATCCCTCGGGGCGGAGTCATGGATGCGCACTGCTGAGGAGTCCCACAATAGGACGAAACGGCCATCCAGTGCTTCCAGGTTTTCCATGGTGGTCTAGCTTCAATTGACTCATAATTTCAACTGTTGAAATTTCCGAATATTTAGATCCCTTTTGATTTTATGTAAGACTTGTTTTTCTTTGAAATATTCCTCACATACGTTGAAATCATACAATGAGTAACATCATAATCAGAAGCAAAGTACTAAGTAAAAATAAATTAGTTGAAGATGTTGTAAACCTTCATTAACTAAGGTGGCTGAAATATATTACATTTGACCACAACCTACCCCAGCATGCAATGTCAGCTATCATGAGAGTGGACTGAAGAAAAGACTAACGACGATTGGATCATCACATGTTCTGAATCCCCAAGTTATTGACTGTTGGATTGGGACATCTGTTATGGGACAGACTTTCTAGTTGAAGTAGTTAATGATCACACACACCTTAGATTATATGACGTAAAATCAATTTCGGTCATATAAATAGATACACTATTTATATTGCACTATACATTGAGTGTCCAATATCATTCCATACTTTTCACTGTCTAGTTTAATCTCTTACTATTGTGATGTGTGCTACCTATACGAACAGATGTATGTATCAATAATCGTAAGTAAAATTCTTGCTGACAGAAGTGAAAGGAAAACAGAAACAGCCCAAGTAACAACAAGAATAAAAGAACGATGGAGCTTGTAAAAGACGATTCAGAAAATATGTGTAAATGGTGTATTCAATGTATTATTTTTATATTTTACAAATGAAGTGTGTGATTTTGCTCTATACAACTAGTTGATTTCATTAACCAAATCTTCGTTCATTACACTATTTTTCCTTTAATCCTTTTGATTTTCGCTTCTTTTACTTTAAGATTTCTTTCTGATGATATGAATTAGGATATCAGACCAATCGAATGGCTGATTACATTTTGTTATTGAATGATTTAATTATCTGTAGGTAAATTAGTAATATGCACAGCAAAGGTCATTATCAAAGAAAGAACAAGGTGCATGCTTCATTCAAAACCTAAAAGACATGAAAACGATTGTGTCACATTCCACTGTGTTTACCAATTTAAATATGTGTGTGGTCACACATACATAAGGAGGAGCAATCGTAATCTCAAAATTAGTGTGTGAACGTTCAACAAAATGGTTGCAGAAACAGATACAATTAAGTGACCCAATAAGAGCAGAGGATAAACATCCATTATCCTCTATTGCTAAACATAAGATTGGACCACTGAGCCGGCATCCAACAATGTTAATGTCTAAGTCTCTACAAAATTCCTTCTGATAGTAATCATCTGCTCACTGGTGACTGACTTCAGGAGGCATTTCCTGGAGTTCTAGTGAGAAGCCGTTACCAGTGGGGTTCAACCAGGTCTGTTGTGAGATATCAACCCACTGAAGACAATTGTGTACGGTGGCTCAACTTCGTGGATTGGTTGAAGTTAGACATTAACACCTTTGGATGCCGGCTCAGTGGTCTAACGGTTAAGTGCTCGCGCGCGAAACCAGTAGGTCCTGGGTCCGAATCCCGCGTAGTGCGGGATCGTGGATGCGCACTGCTGAGGAGTCCCATACTAGGACGGAACGGCCGTCCAGTGCATCCAGGTTTTCCATGGTGGTCTAGCTTCAATTGACTCATGATTTCAACTATTAAAATTTCTAAAAATCTCCACAAAACCCCTTCTGATAAAAAACATAAAAATGATCTAAACTCGGCTTTTGTGGTGTTGTATAAAAGTGTAAAAGGGCGTATACTAAGATTTATTGAATCTTTAGGCATACGAAAATTCTAACCCCCTTTCTGTATTCAAAAACACTTTGTTCTCACCTTAAACCTACCCTGGTAATATTGACTTATTATCCAGAGTGATTAGGTTTAAAATTATGTTCACATTATTATTATTATTGTTATTATTATTATTATTATTATTATTATTATTATTATTATTATTATTATTATTATTATTATTATTATTATTATTATCCTTGTCTCCTCTTATTCCCATTTGCAGTCCAGTTGACCTTATATTTTTATATATAAATGTTCTTAACAAGTGTATTATATGTGACCAGATTGTTCGAAATATATTGCGCTAATGTATCATCATCACATAGTTTTGATAATCTTTGTCTTCTTATTACATTATCGAAATTAGTAATATTTTTATTTAAATGGAAAATAATCCTTACAAATCTTAGAAATTATGTAGTATTTAGTAAAAAAAAATTAGGTATTTATACTACTGAATAATCCTAAATTGATTATGCACAGCATTTATTTGATAATCACTTCTTTCTATTCATAGAAATCTGATATTGGTTTGAAGCTGATATTTTTTGATGGAGAAGAAGCATTCAAGATATGGACACATAGTGATAGCTTGTATGGATCTCGACATTTAGCTGAAAAATGGAGTAGTACAACATCCAAATCATCTAACGAACCAGAATTGAGTAAAATTGTAAGCAATTCAGATATACTGTAGGCATAGTTTGTCTAATAAATAATGTTTTATCATACGTCCTGATTTCATACTGTTTGGAATTTAATTAAATAGAAATTTGAATAAAGCAAAGATAACAATTGAGGCAGAATAATATGAATTCGTGATATTTCATGGTTTCTCATTAGTTGCTTACAACCATATATGCATTAGAATATAACTATACTCTGTCGTATATATATTAATGACACACTTCTTATCTGCAACAATCAGAAGCCTTCTATTTACATACTCAGCCTGTTTAACAAAGGACACATTGATATAGATTTTACTATGGAAAATGAAGTTGAAGGTAAATTCTATTTCTTAGATATTAGAATCAAACGAACTTCAAACAGCACACTACAAAAATACATCCACCGCAAAAATACGTGTAGTGGAGTTTATCTAAATTATAACAGCTTTTGTCCAGTAAGTTATAAAATGGGGATTGTACGAACCCTTTTTGACTGAGCTCGTAAACCTTGCTCAAAAGAAAGTCTGGAAGAAGAATTTACCTTCATTACAACTTACCTACATGGAAATGCAGACCCAGCGAAATTCATCGAGAAGTATGCCAGAACCAGCGTACACGTTAAATATGATACAGTGGCAAAGCAAAACCCGCTTCTTATGTCTGCACTTCAAAAAAGATGTAATCACTAGGATAATTAACCACAGGATAAATGCTACGTTGATGTTTACTTATCCATCAGCAAGACTGACGACATTACGTGAAGCAAACTTCTCAATCACTCAAACAAACAAAAACTGACAGGTTCTCATTTCTCAGTACCTCCAACTACATTTAACAATTTACACGTACGTGCTAAAGCGCCTACAGTGGAATAACAGAGAGATGAGTAAATGTTAGAATTTACGGGCACGTTCCAAAGAATTTGAAACTGAGGGGCGCAATAGCTCTAAACAGCTAAATAGCTCAGTATTTAATCGAATCCGGGCACACCTTTGACATCCCACAATTCTTCGAAAATACTGTTATTATTATTTGAACACATAAATATTGGTACAGAGAGGCACCGAATAAATATGCGCCATACAAGTAAGTTTATTTGTATGTGGACTGTGATACTGCCCGGGTGCCCAGACCGAAGTAGGTGGTTTTCTTAAGGGGCCACACCCGGAGACTTCGATCCAAAGGTCTGATCCAAAAGGTAGTAGAGCAACGTCAGTGTTATAACTTGTAAACCTGTGTGCCCTGTCTATTGTATAACGCAACGATATCGCCGATCAGAGAGCAGCGAATTATCAATCGAACCAGTGACTCATAAAACACGCGCGAGCAGCCTATAGTCCTGATTGCTTCTGCTTCCCGCCTAGCCCAACCAGTTAAGTCCAGAACACCAATCTCAGCCTCTGCAATATAAATCATTTATTTCAAGCATACCGGGTTTATATACCAACCAGACAGACCACATCGTACCATAAAATATGAAACAACATTTGTACAAGAATTAGCCAAATGTGGCTGTGAATGAGGGAGATAGTTATTAATAGACAGGACATAACTCAATTGGTGTCACCATCTTGAAACACCGACTTCGGTGGCTTGGACATGTTCTATGAATGTCGTCCCAGAAAATTCCACGTTGTGCATTATTTGCCGACTCTGGGACTGGTTGGAAAAAGCGGAGGTGGTCAATGTATGACATGGTGTCGGGGTATGAAAGAAAGCTGCAAAGGGCTGGCTTGTGTTGGTCCTTCACGACTCCCTGGCTGGGGTCCGCGAGATGGTGCAACACAGTGGCTAGAGACGTTATCAGATATGGCTCAGAATAGAAGCCAGTGGCGATCTTGCTGTAACCTTTTTTTACTTCTTTCATAAAAAGACTTCTTCTGATTTTACCTTTCCGTTTCCCCCATTATTACTATTATTATTATTACACTGCCTTACACTAATCTGTTCGTTATTGTGCTTTATTTTACACTCCTTACCTTCTTTTTTTCTCTCCGAATTCTCATTGTTTTTGTGGCGCATATATGTTTGGTGCCCTCTTGTACCAATATTTATGTGTTCAAATAAATTATAACTCAAGAATGGTAAATCATATAATAATAGTTCATAGGTCAAAATAAAACTAATAATAAGAGGGACATGAAATATGAACAGTTTAGTTACATAACAATTATACGACAAAAATATACTAATAGTATCGGTCCATAAATGGATCCCAAAAATTACCATTCATTATTATCGGGATATAACAGTCAGGAGATGCAGTCACATGGTAGCCGGTGACCAACAATTGGTTCATACGGCATTTTTTTCACTCAGGATTCTGAAGCCCATGTGCACGATTGGTTTGGAATCAGGATTTTCCAACCCCCTAGGTGGACCCTCCATATCCACGAGCCCGGTTAAAGTGCTGGACATTCGCTTTTCGTCCTCTCAACTTCGTACAAAACATCCCCGTTCTTTCACGTGACGGGCGGAGATACTCACTACTATACTATCGAGCAGCACAAATAAGTGGAGCGTTTCTCCGGTTTGCCAAAGTAGTATTAATAAAAAATCACAAACGTGATCTATTTATTGAGAAACAGTTAGTAATCAACTGAAGTAGACGGAATATACCCATCAAATCTTAAAATAAAAGGATTGCTTACGCAATAAAAGAACACTTCTCTAGGCCAATCTTTCTTACTTTTAGTAATCAACTTATCATTACCGTGGTAACTTATTTTTTATTATCATTATTAATATTATTATTATGGTCATATTTATTTTGCTGTTTGATCTTCGCCAAAGTAGTTCTTACTTTACACTAAAATCTTCCTTTCATTTATCGTCTGTTTCATTCACTTAGCTCTCTAAACTTACATAAACTCTTTAAATCATGTTCAATCAATGCCTAACCCATCCTATCACTTTATAATTCTAGACAATTACCAACCCATAACTAAATGTCCTTTATATCTATTTTCAGATGATTGTAAACTCTTCACAACCTCCATAATTATCATACAGTCTATCTTATCTGTTTCTGGACTTCATTTAATTACTGCCTCATACATATATATATATATATATATATATATATATATTCTATGCTATTCTAATTCTTTCTGTCATTAATTGTTTCACACTATACCATACCTCAATGTTGCATTTTAATGCATATATATTTGTAAGAAACTGATGAGAAACCATGGAATATCACAATTTCATGTTATTCTGCCTCAATTGTTTTTTTGGCCTTATTCAAATTCGTAACGGGAACCAATTGCATCAATGGAAATTGTTTTATTAAGTGACCTAAAGAAATTAAATAGGTCATTATAACAATCTTATTCATGTTGGTTCTTTCTAATGAGTTAATTGTAATTGAATAAATAAACCCTACATACAATTTTATGCTAATATCTCAATCCTACAGGAAATCGTTAGCATCCAGAACAGCTCAGTAGTAACTTCTATAGTTGTAACACCAAGTGAATTAGTTTCGAAATCCACAGAGTGGATGAGTACTAACTAAAGTGATTACATCTAGCTATCTAACATACAGAAGAATGCATTAAAATATTTCGTGTTTAACATTTGGAAAAATGTACCGTATACAACTGGAAATCTACATTATTATTTCATGCTTACGTATTTCTGTGGAAGAATTTAAAAGATGATAAACATTTTCAGTGAAAATAAAAAAATGTTCCCTTTGAATAAACTCATTTTTGAAGGTAGTATTAGTCATGAATTGATGTCGGCTAGAAATATTTAAAAGGCCAATGACACAGTGGGGAGTGGTTTCTCTATTTCAGTTTAGGTCTTACATGCAGCCTTCACCCACAAATCTACCAGAAATTGTGAACTAAGAACCCTTGGTTTTTGTAATGGAGGCATTGTCTTTAAAAAAGAGGAATCCGACGGTTTATAATTTAAACAATAATCAATTTGTCAAATCATGAAAATACTATACTTAGAATCTCGATAGAACAATGAGAAGACGGAGTTGATCTGAAAAATGTGATGTATTTGCGCTATACATTTCGAACAATCTGGTCACACATATACTTGTCAAGGCATTTTTATATGAAAATTAATAAAGGTCAAACAAACAAATAAAAGTACAACTAAAATAACTAAGGGGGGAGAAAGAATAAGAAATTGTCGCGTTATCCTAGGCCATAGAATGACTTAAGGATTACCAAGGTAAATTCAAGGTTACGACAAATTGTTTTTGTACACATAAGGGGGGTTTAAATTTACGAATAGCTAAGGCTTCAATAAACTTAAGAATTCGACCTTGACAATTTCTATACAACATTCTAAATGCTGTATTAATGTTAATTTTGTGCCCCGTCTCAATTATGTGTTTTGCTATCGATGAACTTGGTTTTCTACCTCCTACATTGATCGGATCATTTGACACACACTGATTTTGAAGCCATCTGGGTACATGTTCATTGACCCTTGCTTGCATTGTTCGATTACTCCTCCCTATGTATGTGTGTCCACCATACTTCATTTAAAACTGAATTATTTTATTTCTCTTTTAATTGTAAACCCGTTGGACAAGCTGGAGGCCATCATAACTATTGGTTTAGCGGAGAATACTAGTTTTTTAAAGTGATGGGTGACGGGTTTGAACCATAGACCGTAACATTGAACTCCATGTACATCTGATTAATATATCCCAAATAGAAAGAAGTGCTTGTCAATAAGAATACACAAATAAATCTATATTTGTTTCTCAGCTTATTGATTATTAACGTGATTAAATAAGAGATTAATCTATCTTTACATCAATCTATACAATTTTTATTAGGTAATTAAGTAGATTTTGAACATATAGAATGTTACTAACCAATTGCAATGTACTATGGATTTTCTTAAGAGAAAAAAAAACTTGAACTCTACATTCTCAATCCTTTTGAATACTTAACAGTATATTGTTTGGTCACAACACATTTCATATTGATTCATACCATAATATAATATATTGTTTTCATTCTGTACTTCTTTTTTTTTTGAAAAAAAATCGATAGGATCTTTTTGTCTTATTGGATTTACTTGGTGCAAAACAACCTCACATACCAAAGTATCCATATGAGGATAAAGGAAGTTTTAATATGCTCATTGAATTGGGTAAGGCATCCATAATGTTATTATTGTTTATTGTGGATAACAACATTCGTTCTGTTTTAAATGAATAATTTCACAATGTCAGTATGGATAGAGGTTGTGGAGATTGTTGAATTTTTCATTGAGATCACGATCATTGAAAACCTGAAAGCAATAAACGGTTGTTTAGTCTTAGTTTCACAATTATCGAACTCTAAATCTACAAGAAAAAAAAACATAGTTATATAGTTCTCAGTCAATTATATGAAGTAATTTACCTTGAATAAGGCAGGACTAAACTCTCTAGTGAAACATTGAAAGTGTTTGATTTCAATCGCTAAGATCTTTATGAATACATAATTTTCTGTTTCAAATTTTATTTAAGTAATTATCAGTAGTAAAAAATCATTTTGTGCCCTTAATTAACTGAAGTTGCAAATGTGGATCATTGAACTTCAATTCCTTATTATGTCAGTGATATTATATTCACCATGAGACAAGTATCCTTGATTCAAACCCCATTCAACTTTGTTATGTTAAGCAGTCGGGTAATTTCCCTTGATTTCACATAACTATATGTAGCTAAGTGTCAGGTACATAAACCTGTACTCAGTAAATAAGTTACATTATTATTATCATTACTTTGATCTTTTCGGAAGTGGTCGCTGAAGAATCTCAATTTAGAAAAAAGTAGTTGCTTTATTGTTCTCTTATTTCCTATTATTCTTTAACTGAGTTTAATCTCTAGTGAAAAATACCATTAAAATAAACTTATATTACATTACTAACTCTTATTTCACCAGTACCTTGTCAGATATATATATACGAACTTATAACTATCCGTAAACTAGTTTACCCTTATTTTAAGAGTTCAGTTCGTAACAAATTTTATGATATAAAAATGAACAATGTATAAAATAGTGCAATGACGAAAAATGAATGAGTTAATTGATAAAATCGATTCATTAACATATAATTATAAAGATCTACTCCGACTATATTAAAGGTAATGTTAATAATCATTTTAATGATTAATTAGTAAAATGAATATTGAATTTTGTATAATTCATGAACACATAAAAATGTTTTGTTTTATACAACTCACTGAACAAGTACAAGTTTACGTACATAAGTTTGAGCTACACTTTATTTTAGTATGGGATGGATTGTGAAGATAACGATTAAGTTATAGGAGAAAGATAGGGAAAAGCGGAATATTAAGAAGTGATTACTTACTTACTTACTTACTTACGCCTGTTACTCCCAATGTAGGATAGGCCGCCGAACAGCATTCTCCAACACACTCTATTCTGGGCCTCCCTTTTTAGTTCTATCCAATACTTCTTCATTCTTCTCATGTCTGTCTGTCTCCATTTTCGGCATCATGTGTTGTTTAGTCTTCCTCTTTTCCTTTGACATTGAGGATTCCATGTGAGGGCTTGCCTTGCGACGTAGTTCGGTGCTTTCCTCAATGTGTGTCCTATCCACTTCCAGCGCCTCTTCCTGATTCCTTCCTCCACTGCGATATGGTTTGTTCTCTCCCACAATAGGTTGTTGCTGATAGTGTCTGGCCAATGGATACGAAGTATTTTGCGTAGACAAGAAGTGATAAAAGGATTTAATTGTGAACAACGTGATCTCAGGTACTGTTAGAGGTGTGAAGGCGGCTGTCGACTCTCATTCGTCCTTACCGTCAAAGGATATTACTTCTTAAGAGACTAGAAAGGGAAACTAGATTGGTAGTAGTTGTAGTTACCTCTAAGCGTGACTCCAGATCTCAAAGGACAATTTTTTGGAGACTGATTACATATGGTGTTTTCATTCGTAGTTCTTGACTTTTTAGCTCCATAATTTAGAGGCCTTTTCACTAAAAACCGTAATCAAGGTGATGTGTACTTTTGTTAAGGAGGACGGTTTCTAAACCCCTTATTCTGTTGTGGAATGATGGGATCATTGCAGGCATTGATTGTTTGAGGGAGACGACTTGCTGGTATCACACCAATAGAATCAGCAGTTCTACTTCACCCTCACACTTAGATTGCTGCTATTAATAGTCCGGACTTAATGAGTATGATGGCTAGTTAAACTACCCGAATGCCCAGACTGAAGTAAATGAAGTGAGGTTCAAACTTGTAACTTGTAATTCGAAATCCAATTATTTTAGCCATAATAACCAACGTACAAAACCCTATGAAATTTCTCTCATTGTAACTATTTAGTAAATTAACTGGTAGCTTCCTCTAGCATGTTTATCTTGTTTATGGAATTTCACTAACACTTGAGAATGTAAACTACTAGAATAGTTTTTACATTTATTGGTTAACCACCAGACAAGAAATTCATTTACTGAGATAAAAATGATTTCACACAAAATGGGTTTGATATCATATATATAAGCTTTTCTTCAATCCAATAATAAATATATTTTCGTGATACCGCAATGAGTAGAAAATTGTATTTCTGACGTTTCATGACTTAATGTAAGCCGCCGAGATAAAATTAACATAAGTTTAAATAGTTCCTTTGTACTATTTAAACTTGTGTTGATTATATGCTATTTTTGAAGAGATTATGAGTTCACCTAGTCTGAGAACAGAACGAAAACTCTGTGACACAAAGACCAATAAGCTAGCTATTCTGACGCGTCCCAGCCCCTCTAACTAGAGAGAGAAGTCCAAGTTTGGAAGAGGGAAATGTATTCGACAAGCAGCCAAAAGCACGAACAACAACAACAGGCACAAATCAAGCGTATATATACAGCATAAAATTGTCCTTGGGAAGCGTTACAAAATAGCATACTAAAAGATACAATAAACTAACAGCGTTTAAGATCCTATCAAGTGGGAAATACGACATGAAAGTGAAAATGAGCTCTTTTGGCACGAAAACAAGAAATTCAAATTTTTGAAATAGAATTACGAAAGTAAAGTATTTACCAAGTGAGTTCTGATGATCTAACATCCCCGGTTATTTACTTTGAAAAAGTCTTAGAATGTCAGAAATACAATTCTCTACTCATTGCGGCATCACGAAAACTTTCTACCAATGCTCGATTTATTTAAAACCATCAAGTTCAACTTTGTCATTGATTCCTACATTCTCTTTAATTCGTTTTGTTTGTATTTAATAGAAAAGAGAATGAGATCGTTTAATCTGTTGAAATCATCAGGTGAAAATAATCAACCTTATTTTGGCCATGGTGTTCGATACCAGATTGAAGATGATCATATACCATTTGTAGAAAAAGGTTAGTTACGTTGGCTGCTTGTCATGGCTAATGGCCGCTGACTAAATTCCCTCGACAAAAACAAGTCAGAATTTGTTTTAACATCAATAACCTTGAGTTCTTATTGGTCCACGATTCTCCAGCTTGGGTTTAGAATTGATCTCATATCGGCGCTCTTTATTTTGCTCTATATCTAAAATCTCAAAATTGCGTTTTTTCATACCTTCTTTCTATTTCTTGTTCCCAATCCATTATCTTAATGTCTTTCTCACAATAAATTTTGACTCTTTTTGTCTCGTTGTGGTGATTTACTGTGGGACGTTCAACCAATGCACAGGCTCTTTGTTACTTATCACTAAATACTACTTAGAAACATAAGTCGGACCGAATAACAGTTTCAAAACTGAGCAGTAATGTAGTGCAAACCACTTTATACTACTCCTCACCTTTCGATAAACAGAAATGCTTTTCACCTGCACTAGAGATGATGATGATGGAATTCATCCCTGTTAGAGGGATTCCCGAAAGCGACCTCAACGCGATTTATGAAAACTATGTGAGTAGTCGAAATTCTTAGATAGTGATCGAATTCCACATCAAAAAGTTTCCCATAATCTTTCCCAACTATACCACTGTTTTAGTAACTAATTTTGAATATATCTGATATCTAAAGAAACATCGATAGCTTTGAAAATAGTGACATTAACATGCAAAATAATTAGATGTAAATTAAGGTGTCAAACTTAAATATCATTAGTTCTAAGATAATTTAAATCATTGAAACCAACCGTGACATATCTCTTAACTTTATGATAAAAGAATTATACTAAAACTCTATATTTCTGCAACAGATTAATTTCAGTGATATATATATATGACATTTTTCTTCTATATTATTAATATAGGTGTCCCTGTACTACATTTAATTCCATCACCATTTCCAAAAGTATGGCATACAATAGCTGACAATGCTACAATTATAGACTGGGATACATCGATCGATTTATTATTTCTTATAAAATTATTTGTCAGAAATTATCTACACATTCTATTATGATATATATATATATATGTAAGGTGTGGATTCTATGTATTTCATTCATAACTGTACCTAAGTCGGTGTATAATAGACTGAATGAGTTTTTTTCAATAGCTTGTATAGTCAAAGAGTAAGTGTTATTACACATAACTGTATATAAATAGACTTCCATATTTATTTATTCCCTTACACTATTAAGGATACGTTGTGTTTTCAATTTTCTTCTTTTATCCTCAATTTTATACATTTATTCATTGTTTAAATGAATGAATTCATAATTTCCATTAAAAGGTTGATTAGTACAATTTAAAATAATATACTTACAAATACATGATAATAAATTATTAGGTTCAGTGTATTATAATAAACTTATTTCATTATTATCAGAAGGATATTGTTTGTGGATATTATAGTAATTTCAATGATTGAGATCATGAGTTAATTGAAGCTAGACCACCACCATAGAAAACCTGGAAGCATTGGATGGCTGTTTCGTTCTATTGTAGGAGTTGCAATGGGCTCTATATTGGGTCCTCTCTTAGCTGATTGTTTCATGCCTAATCTAGAAAATTCGGTACTTCGACCAATAATTGAGAGATTTCATTTATATAGTGTTGTAACGTGTGGACTGCAGGTTAGATGCGCAGCGTATTTATCGATCTAGCCAGTGACACGTAAAACACGTAAGGACGACCTAGAGTACCGATTGGTCCCGCTTCCCTGTCTAGTTGAGTCTAGAACGCAAGTCACAGCCTCTGAGTTATGAATCGTTATATTTCAAACATACTCTGTTTATATACCAACCAACCAGATCACATCGTACCATAAAAATAGAAAACAACATCTGTACAATATTTAACGAGTGAAATAAATAAAGGTCAATAGGGAATGCCCATTTAGAGTCCAAGGACATCATTAGACTTAACATGATAATGACTGGTATATTCCTCAGCATACCTAACATATAGGAGATATATGGATGATACTTTCATTATTTGTCAAAAAGACATGGACCTCAATGAAATCTTGAATATTTTCAATAATTGTCACCCATCAATTCAATTTACCTTAGATGCAGAGGCAAACTATGAATTTCATTTTCTTGATGTCCGTTTAGAAAGAATGCCTGACGGTTTTTACAGGGATCTATGTACAGAAAACCTACTTGGAATGGGCAATACACGAACTTCCATAGTTGGGTTCCATTAAGTAGAAAAAGGAACTTAATTCACTCTTTATTCTCGAGGATCAAGCGAATCTGTTCCAATGATACAACAGGTGGGGAACTATTTCATCTTCGACAGACCCTCATCAAAAATGGTTATCCACCGAGATTCGTTGATAGCAACTTGACACCCAGACTTCATGACAAAGCATCGACAGTAGAGAAGAAAACTCTATTTATGAATATGGAATTTAAAGGAGACACTGCTGCTGAAATCCTAAATCAACGGATTTCGAAATCATTGAATAAAACTTTTACGCAGCTAAGCTCCGAATGGTTTTCTCTAACCGACCTACCATTCTGGGAGGTGTTAAGGACAAACTTCTGCTTTGGGCCACATCAATGTGCATATATAAATTTACTTGCTCATGTGGGGCAAGTTGCATAGGCCACACAAAGCGATCATTATCCAAACGTATCTCGGAACATTATCCGGCCTGGCTCTTAAAAGGGGAACGTAAAACAATCACTAGTTCGATACAGGAGCACTTAACTGTGGACATATCGCTCCAAAGGACTCTTCATTTAATATAGTCTACAGAGTCAAAGAAAAACTGGATCGAAGGGGGTTCGAGTCAATATTTTATGCACCGCAGAGGCATTGGCAATCTACAAACTCAAGCCTGAACTTTGCGTGCAGAAACGATGTGTCCGACCTCTCATCCTTCCTTGGCCCTAATTCCCTTAATGGGTATTGTTATGACCTTGATGTCTGACTTTTCTATCAAGTGACTTATCGATCAATCAGAATACGACTTATACAATCTTCACACTATGCCAAACCAATGACGTTCAACCGGTATGAGCAGTTTAGCGTGTTTATTGGTCCTATGTCCTCCTAGCCCTTCCACTTGAGTCCAGAACACAATACCAGCTTCTGTAATATGAATCGAATCGTTTATTTCTGACATACTCGGTTTATATATCAATCAAACAGACCACAACGTACCATAAAATAGAAAATAACATGTGTACACAAATAAGCCAAAAGGTGGCTGTGAACGCGGGAGGTAGTAATTAATAGACTGAACATAGATTAAGAACCGTAAATCGTTTAATAATAAATTACAGGTCAAAATAAAGCTTATAATAAGGGGAATATAAATACACGTAATGTAATTATTGAATAATTATACAATAAGAATATTTATAGAATATTAGTCTATTAACAGCCCTCGGAAGTTACCTGTAACTTAATCTTCACTGGGTTATAACAGGTATGTTTCCGTGTTGGTGTTTTTTTAGTTGTCTTCGTTGTTCTTCTGCACTTTTATTTAATTATTATCGATATTTTCTTTTAAATTACTATTTTACACTTTAAACTCTAATCATTTATTATTATTACCTTATACAAGTTTTCTTATTTATCATTCAGTTTATTATTATGACCTTTGTTGTTTGTCGTTTTTCTTCATATCTGTCAATTGAACTATTATCTGACCCTTAGACATTAACACCGTTGGATGGAGGCTCACTGGTCTAGAAGTTAAGCGCTCTCGCGCGAGACTGATAGGTCCTGGTTTGGAATCTCACGAGGTGTGATCATGGATGCTCACTACTGAGGACTACGAAACGGCCATCCAGTGCTTCCAGGTTTTCCATAGTGATTTAACATTGATCCATTCATGGTATCAATCTAAATATAAAATAATTTGTCTAAAATCAATCTGTATGTGAGTTGTGATCAAGAAATCGACTGATTATTGTTTTAGATACTTAATCATTAAGATGAACAAAGTAATTTCTATAACAATTAGTATGAAAGTAAAGATGAAGCCCATGTTAAATGAACAGTAATCAGATTTTCTAAGTATGAAATGTGGAATTGTAATAATAATAAAAGAATTTGATGAAGTTTTGTTCTCTGAGCTGGATGGTTAAGTCGTTGGGCTTTCATTGTTATTCTGAACGACATCATCAGCACAAGCTTCAGATAGAATTGAAGTGTTTGAATTTCTCTATATATGGCTCACAACTTGTTTTGTATACCTCGATGTTGATTGGTTATTTTTAATTATCAATCGTCTAGCACAACCTTCATTTAAACTTTAAGGTTAATCCCACTAGCAATTACTTTGTTAACGTCCAGCAAATAGGTGTGTGTTATTTTCATTTCATAACTACTCCCATTTAGCTATTTACATAAAAATTATATTGAAACTCACTGGAAAGAATATTCTAACATAAATATAGATGATTTCTAAACTGATAATTTAATCCACAATCGAAGATAAAACAACTAACTTCAAATGTTTCTTAATTTTCAGTGATTGTCCAGTTGATTTCGTCCCTCGGTGAAAATAATCTCTTTAATAAAGTCTATCATATTTTTATGATTGTACAGCTATGGAGATGCAATCATTGAAAAAATGTATCTGCCTATTATTATGAACTCTACAATCTGGAAAGTCTTTGTATTTAAGGTAGCTACTAGCAATAGAACCAAGGGAATGTGTTTCGTCTGATTTGTAACTAGGCAGTTGGATCTAAGTCCATCCAATTGTTTATGTTCACTTCGAGATTCGAACCCAGTGCATGCTATGTCAAATGCCAATTCGTTATCCACGAAATAACTGAGTCCAGATAGCTCGTTCTTTGTATTTATTAATAACAGTGTTTATTGGGCAAACGTCAAAATAATATAAGGTTATAAAACAAAGTAAACCATTAATCAGTTGATTGTTGTGTATTTTACTCACATTTCACAGGTTCGCATACTAGGATCTAAGATAAACTTCTTAAGAATATATGTAATAAACAGCTTCCTGCATCTAAGTAGTTGGGGTAGAATTCGTAATTACAATTGAAAAGCTAAAAGTCAAGTATTTCATATATTTAATCACTGCTCTATTAAATTCAAATGAAGAAAGAGTTACCTCTATATGAAACAAGTATGGTGAGAGAGTTGATAATATAACTATTCGAATATTCTAACTCAAATAAGTGTTAAGATGTTCGAAATAACACTATGTTTGCCGAAAGTCGGATGATTTATCTACCTGGATAGCAGTCAAAATAGCGTCTCAAACTGCGAAGCTGGTTGACACTGGTTTGAATCCCATTAGGAACACGATTACCCTTGCTGATGAGCGTTTACAAGCTCTAAACTTAGTTTCAGGCTTTCTTGACGACTTCATGTAACTACTCAACATTAAAAACATAATGCACACATATCAAATCACTTAAGCTAACGACTATATCAAAAATTAATGGGTAGAATTCAATTAACACTAAGGCCTAGACAAGCAGTACATTGGTTATTACTTAGTAGTCGATTCATATAGCTTTTTCAAACTATATTTTACCTTTCCTTACAGACAAAATCTTAGTTATACGTATTCTATTCATTGTTTGAACTTAAAGAAATTAGTCAACATCACACTGATCACTTATATAATCAATAAGTATTCAGTTTTATAGACAGTTGGTTTTTTTATAACAAGAACCAACATGATACTTATTCTAAATACTGTATATGTATACTTTGAATGAATAATCTTCGCCAAAGAAGTACTGGTACCGATTTGTTTATGTTTTATTTTATGAATTATCATTCAAACTTGATATTATATGGAATGAATATTAACATACAAGGTTAGCTCTAGTTCAAATACTTCTTAGTTTATAGTTAAAGATATATGTTACAGTGACCTGGTAGATAACATTACGATTTCTTTAAAGGGAGATTACTTGAGTTCCAGTGTAAGTCAGTACATCAGTACTAAAATACTGAATTACATTCAAATGAGAAATCATAAATAGGACAGAACATGCGTCCTAGATTTTACTTCTAACCGCTATCAAGGATTTTTGTAAGGGAGGTGACTTTGCAAAACCGAAATGGAATTCACTAAGATGAACCTCATGAAAAAGAAGACCAAAAACAATTTAGGTTCGCTGGAAAAGTAAATTTTATTACTTTTTTTCAGGAGGAAGTTGATAGTAATAGGCTGAAGTAGAAATTAGTATTTTAAATCAATGAAATAGAGTATGGGTCAGAGGCAGAAAGTTTTCTACTCCAGATTTTTATCAGAACTTCTATGTGGTTGGAATAACATAACTGGACAACCTAAACTGTAGTTAAGCTAATCAGAACAAACTATGTAATCATTTTCCTTTCATTGTTATTTGTAACTGTTTAAATGCGTGTATAGAAAGTGAT